AACCAGAAGGCTGGCGGTTCAAACCCACCAGCCATTCCTCGGAAGGAAGGTTGGGCAATCCTACTTCCATAGTGATACTGCCTCGGAAACCCAAGGAGGGGTCACTATGAGTTGGGGCCGGCCAACTCGATGGCACATAACAACAGCATAACATAACAAAATGTGCAAATCAATGCTATTCCATTACTTTGTTTCTAGAAGTATTAGTTATACAAATATGCCATTTGACTAGTGTATTGAGACCTAAAAATATCATGTTATTAAAATTTTATCATTTTAAAATATAACTTTTTAGGATATTATCAGCTTAAAATTATTTATTTAGAGAAACATCTATTGGAAAATGGTATATTTTCAAGCAGTTTAAGAATCTACCTCACTCGAAAAACTGATGACGACCCTCAGTATATTATATATTCACAGTAGGATGTGCTTATAGATCAGTTAGCCTATTCATTATATGACAAAAGATTTCTGTGGGAAATCCTTTTACTGACTTGTTATCATAATAGGACCCAACCTAACCTATAAACAAAAGTCCCTAAAGGAAGTATTACTATATTTATATAGGAGCTTGATTCTGCAATGCAGTTGGGACACTTGTTACCACAGACAGTGATACAATTTAAGAAATTTAGTCTGGAGGCTATCTGTCTTCTAGTCATCAAGTTCTAAGTAAGCTATTTTGTCACTATAATTGTTAGGACTTAAACCATCCATTGTCCAAAGTTATGACCAATGTGAACAAAAATATTTAAGCTGAAAATATTTAAAGGAATTCCCAGTCATTATTTAAGCTCAAACACTGTTTTTCAAATTGTGTGGGCTATAGGCATCTGCCAAAATTTAAAACACAGAAAATACAGAAGTCATCAAAATCAACTTTACCTTGTTGAGCATGTCCCTTATAAAAGCCCATTTCAAATGTAAGGGTTTGAATGTAAGGTAGCATTGTAATTCCTTTTTAGTAATGTAACTGCAAAATTTTTACAGTATAGTAGTTCACATCTTATTTCAGATCCTACAGGGTTAATGCTGCAGGACTTTGATATTAGTGTATTCTTCTAAGTATTTTGTGACATCAAGAGTGGCCACCACTAGACACATGTAATGATCACATTTTCTTTCTACCCTGAAAGCCCCAGTTACACAGAATATTAGAAATATCAGGGATATCCAATGTCATACCACTGGGTTTAATTAATTACACGTAGATTACATAAATGTGGCCTATAGCCAAATAGATGGATTAAAATGAAATATAAAGAAGAGTGGCTGAAGTTCAATACCAACACACACAAACAGAAAATATGGCACCATTATTTTAAAAACAAATGTGTATCAAGGTTGAAACACAGATTTAGGAAAAGGGATTTGAAGCCATGTCTTAAAATGGTTTGTGGTTTACACAATTTTTTTCCTAATTGGTCACTAACTCTTCATTGTGGTCTCCTTTCCCATTTAAATCTTGGACTTTAGTAATGATGCTACAGCGGAAGGCTTCACTGCTCTATGGAGACGAGACAAAAGGACCAGCACTACAAACTCGGCTGACAAGCCACTTCCCCAGGACCAGCTGAAATACCCAGTCCAGCTCTTCTGCATAAACTTGCACTGGCTGGCTTTGAGATTAAATGTGACTCTCTGCCCCTACAAAGTTTAGGTTAAAAATTGTTTGTTTGCTTTTCTTAAAGAGCTCCAGAAAGCTTTTATATAATATATACATTTGCTCCAAAAGCTGAATCAAACACACCAAGAAGGGGAAAAAGTGATACTCCAACTGATGGCTGGTCTTAAAAAAATAAAATAGGCAAGTCAAACCATCTGAAAACAGGGCTTGTCACAAACAGCATGCTAATGTGACAATATCCCCAGCAGCTTTATGGTTTTCCAGGCAAATCCTATTTTGCCACCAGTATTATAAGAAACAAAAGAATACAATGGCTTTCTATATGCCACATAATTTTAAATAGTTTTCTAAAAAGAATCTGATGATAATTTAAAGATCTTTTCTAAAACTACTTAAATCTAGGATATAAACCTTTCTGTGTCAAATTTATAGTCACACTATTCTAAAGACACCCACAATAATAATTTTAAAAGCTTTAATATTTATTTCTTAGGGGAAGGCTAATAACCTTTAAAGGAAAAAAAAAAAAAAACAGAAATTATGTCATTAATCAAATTAATCTAGTAAGGAGGCTTGTATTAATTTGGCCCAAGGATATTATTTTGGGGTTCTATACAATAAAACCTTCTTGGGTATCCACTATATTAGATTCATCTAACAAAGAAAAAAAAAAGGTAAAATTGCATCTTACTATTTAAAATTGAATGATCTATTTGTTTTATCCATAAACTAGATTTATATTTTTTTCATTTGCCTTAAAATGAGTAATGATGACTTATAAGCAATTGCCTTATAAACATGGAAATAGCTCTATTGTATCAAAAATCTTCATTTTAGCCCCTTGTCATATTATCACAAAATGTTTTCATGGGAAAATTTAATAAAGATATTTTTAATCTATAAAGGATTAAGAGTCTTATTTTCCAAAGGTATTTGAAGTATTCCATCTGACATTCTCCATTTCTCATAACCTTATTGTGAAATGTACAAGTAAACTTTGCATCTCTGTTCTATAAAAATTAGTGCATGTATACTTATATGTAGGCTGGCGGTTCAAACCCACCAGCCACTCCTCAGAAGGAAGGTTGGGCAATCTACTTCTGTAGTGATATTGTCTCAGAAACCCAAGGAGGGGTTGCTATGAGTCGGATCCGACTCGACAGCAGTGAGTCAAGATACTTGTATATGTGTATACTTACACACACACACACACACACACACACACACACACACACACATATATAAGTTCTAAGAACAGACCAATTAGACAATTCCTCTGGAGAAGGTTCCTTGAATAATATAAAAATGGGATCTTCATAAGCAAGTAACAAAACAGCTTTATAACCCAACTGCTGCTTAAAATGCTTATAAACAGTCATTTAAACATTTATTAATTACCTACTTATGGTTTTGGAAAATCCAAGATTATAGAAAAGATACGATAATATCTCATAAAAATCTAGACAAAAGTGATGGCTGATGATTTGAAAATAAACTTCCACATTATAAAAAGGCATGTAAATTTACCCTGGAAAGGAAAAAAAAAGGTTTAATATTAAAATTAGAGTTCTTTTAATCATCTTCTTTGAATAAAGAAATAATTAGCAAACTTCTGGTTTCCACTGTTATAAAAACAGATCTTTCCTTGGGACTTCACAAGGTCAACTACAACAGTGCAAATACACTAATTCTTTAAAAGGTCTGAAGGTTTAAGTAGACTTTCACTGAATTCCTGAATTTTTATACTGTGGAATTCACTTATGAGACACTGAAATGTAAACTAGTGCAGACAATTCAAGCTCTATTATTTTCAGGCACAAAAACCATATAATTTTGTAAAAAACTTTGATTTCTTTATTTGCGAAATTAAAAATATGGTATTTTATATATATAAACTTCTATTCCTCTATAAATATAGATGATCTTGTGATAGTGAACAGAATAAATGCATACCAAATTCAAAAACCATTGTCATTTTAGGGTATGACAGACATAGATAAATTTAGTTCCTAAGTACCAGCATCTGATAAACTCTTAAAGTTTAAAACAATACACCGAGGAGGATTACCTGTCTCCTCCTTTTCACAGAGAACTAAAGAGAATATTTTAAAATGGCTTTGAAAGATTTACACTGGACAATTTCCTGTAAATCTATAAAAGGAGCACACAGAATTGAATGCAGTAGGCCTGCATACATTTTCCTTTAGCATGCATGTCAATATTTTCTTTGAAAAGCTAACCCCATCAATTTTTCTACCTTCTTTACCTCCTGTAGTCTTAACAGGTTATTATTTGTGGTGTCGATTTTTCATCCCTCAGGATGTGTTGCTGAATAATAACCATAGTAAGTTGAAAGTGTACTATTTTTACATTTTAAAGTTTCTGATATATGTCTAATTATTATTTGATTAAAAATAAGAAAATAGTACTTCATTTGGAGGAAGTCCAGTACACTGAGATCTCCTTAAAGTTTCCATATTTCAGTTTTGCTGTCCTGTTAATGAAAGCAAAGATCAACTCCTTCACAAAGCTTTCCAGGTGCCCTCAATGTTTTCATTTTACAGAAAACGGTAAAACGGTAAATGCTCCGAAGGTCTCAGCCCTAGACGAAGGTTGCTAGGCATCAGTATGTAATTAAATTAACATTTTATAACTCCCATCTTCAGTCTCTCCCAACCCACACAAAGCTTCGTGTCTCTTCCCAAATCTCAGTAACCACATCTTTCCATGATGCTGGCCAAACTCATACCACTAGAAAATGAAATGAGCTCATCCACCAAAACTCAGACTTTAAAAAGTTGGGCATTGGTTATCTCACTCACCTCTAACCTACTTGGGAGGAGGGAGGGAGTGTCTGGGCGTTGGCGGCAGCGCGGGGGAGACTGGGACTGCCAGCATCCACTCTCGCGGGCCGGGCCACTACAGAGCTGGGGGAGAACGTTCAAGCAGCAGAAAGTCAGCTTCCAGAAGTCTAAGAACAGACCTTCGGAATCTGCCCTCGGGCGAGGGCGGACTAGGATAGAAAAGGGCACACCTCGGATTGTGGGAAACTGGTGGAGTTCCGTACCTTAGAGGCCCCCCACCTCCAGTCAGAGAAGGCGAGGAAGAAAGAGGATGCGGGAAGTGACCCAAGCCGCGCCCGCCAAACCGCACCCCACAGGGCTGGCTGGTCTCCCCCGGAGCCGGTGCGCAGACCGACCGATGCACCCTTAACGGGGAGGGGCGCGGGAGCACCCAGCGAAGCCAAGGGGTGGGTGCATTTCGTTTTCTCCCCTCTGCAGTATTCTGAAAAGGGCAAGGAAAAGCCTCAAATAGTTAAACCTGTCTAAATAATTAAAATAAAAAAAAAACAAACCTGCATGATAGGTTGTCATTTAAATACAAATATACTTACAAAAAAATCTTACACAGGCTATTTACAATCATAAAAGCGTAAAGTCCTGGTTCGAAAGTGAGGGCGAGAGGTCCATCTCCCTTCTCAGCAGTCAAGCCTCTCGGGCCATTCGCTCCCAGGGACGGATGCTTTTTTTGCAGGAGCTGTGTTGTTAAAGGAAGCCTGTGAAACTGAGTCAACCAGGCTTGGAATGGATTCCACGGGGCCAGCTTTGGGGGTGGCTGGGACCGTGCTGAGGGCTGGGAATGGGCTGAGCCAGTGGGTCTCAGACCGTCGTCTCGCCTTGTTTGCTGTTGGCGAGCCTGGTGTAGAATTTCCGCCAGGAGTTGAGAGTCTTGCCGGACCAGATCCAGAAGCCCGACGTGATGCCCACGATCAGTGTCATAAGGTACTTGATCATGAAGACCGTGAAGTCAGGGCTCATGGGCGGGTGAGGTGGGGCGCCCCCAGCCGCCTGGAGGTGGGGGCAGGGGATGGCATAGCTCTTGCAGCTCTGAGCCACCCAGCTACGCTCCCACTGGTCCCGGAAGGCCTGCTCGTAGAAGTAGCAGGCTATGACGATGGTGGCTGGCACTGTGTAGAGCACACTGAAGACCCCGATGCGCACCATGAGCTTCTCCAGCTTCTCGGTCTTGGTGCCGTCGTGTTTCATGATGGTGCGGATGCGGAAGAGAGACACGAAGCCGGCCAGCAGGAAGGACGTGCCTATGAACAAGTACACGAAGAGGGGCGCCAGCACAAAGCCGCGCAGTGCGTCCACGTTGTTAAGCCCCACGAAGCACACCCCACTCAGCACATCGCCGTCCACCTGGCCCAGCGCCAGGATGGTGATGGTCTTGATGGCTGGCACGGCCCAGGCAGCCAGGTGGAAGTACTGTGAGTTGGCCTCGATGGCCTCGTGGCCCCACTTCATGCCGGCCGCCAGAAACCAGGTGAGCGACAGGATCACCCACCAGATTGAGCTGGCCATGCTGAAGAAGTAGAGCATCATAAAGAGTATGGTGCAGCCCTCCTTCTTGGTACCCTGCGCAACCGTGCGCGCCCCGTCCTCTGTGAACTTGTCGTTACACACTACCCGGTCCTCCAACAGGAATCCAGCAATGTAGGCCACGGCCACAGCCGTGTAGCAGCCCGACAAGAAGATAATGGGCCGCTCGGGGTAGCTGAAGCGCCGCATGTCCACTAAGTACGTGAGCACCGTGAAGAGTGTGGAGGCGCAGCACAGCACCGACCAGATGCCAATCCAGGTGCGCGAGAAGCGAAGCTCCTCTGGACCGAAATACATGAGCCCATACACCTTGGTTGGCTCACAAGGCGCCCCGCAATCCTTCTCTCCCAGGAAGTGGTAGTTGAGGTAGGAGGGCACCTTGAGGGCGCGCGGGCACGAGAACTTGCCCCGCTCCGACGCGCCGGCGCCACCCGGAAAGCCGCTGCCGCCGCTGCGGTGGCCCCCGCCGCCGTACTGGGGATTGCTAGTCCAGAACTCCGGCAGCAGCGAGGGCGTCGGGGTGCCCTTGTCCGAAGTGTTTTGGCCCACGCACAGCTCGCCTGCGCCGTGCACCGGGAACTTCTCGCACTTCAGCGTGTCGGGCCACTGGAAGCCGAACTTGTTCATGAGCGCCTCGCAGCCCTGGCGCGCGCGCTCGCACAGGGAGCGGCAGGGCGGCAGCGCCTGCTCCAACACGGTGCACACTGGCGCGTACATGGAGCACAGGAAGAACTTGAGCTCCGCCGAGCACTGGACCTTCACCAGCGGGTAGAACTGGTGCACCTCGAGGCCCGCGTCCTCTTGGTTGGTGTGGCCCAGCAGGTTGGGCATGATGGTCTGGTTGTACGCGATGTCCGTGCACAGCGGGATGGAGATGGGCTGGCAGTAGCCGTGGTCCGGGATGGAGATGCCCCGCTCGCCGTTGTACTGCTGCCCGCTCTGGGGCTGCGGCGGTGGCGGCGGCGGGGGCTGCTGGCCTGGCCCCGGCCCTGGCCCCTGGCCCGCCGCCTGCGCCTGGACCCCCAGCAGCAGGGGAGCCTCCAGCAGCCAAAGCAGCAACAACAGCCGGCGCGCCAATCGCCCGGGGTCAGCTGGGAGGCGGCGACCGCTGCTTGGGTCCCCGCTCCCTTCCGCAGCTGGCCCGGCGGGGAGCGCCCCGGCACAAAGTTCCCAGCTCCCGCCGCCGGCGGCCTGGGACTTCTTAGGCACCTCCTCCTCAGCCATACTTTTTTGGCTCCTTTCTCGGCGCTTCTCTGCTGGAGCTGGCGGTGGAGAAGCCGGCAGCAGCCTTCCCTGCGCCCCGGGCGATCTCCTCCGCACCGGTGCCCTCCGTTGAGCCCAGAGCGCGCTCGGCTTGTTCCCCCAGCTCCCGCTCTGCGTCCCGCAGCCGCCGCCGCCGCGGAAACTTGAGATTCATGAAGCGCTGGCGGCGGGGAGAGCCCGGGTGACTCGGGCACGCGGGGGTCGCGTCCTGCCTTCCTGCCCCTCGGCTCACTGGCTCCCAGCTGGCGGCGCCGCACTAGTGGCCGCGACCCGGTAGAGCGCACAACTCTGGGTAGCCCAGGGGCCTCGGCACCCCCCTGCGCCTCCGCCTCCTTCTCCGTCGCCGCCGCCTGACCATTTGTGTCAATCCCTCAACTCGCTCCCTCTCCACTCTCGCGCTCGCCCTCGGACCGGTTTCCAGGCGCCCCGCAGTCTGTCTTTCACCAGGAGGGAGGAGCCTTGAAACCGACGCGGAACTGGAGGCTCAGGGACCGTCGCCCAATCGCGGCATCGGCTTTCCGGCGCAAAGGGCACCCGCCACCTCCTTGGGCAAAAGCTGGCGGCCGGGGGGAAGGAGGAGGAGGCGGGAGGAGGAGGAAGTAGTGGTGGTGGCAGAGGTACTGCTGTACTGCTCAGGCACAAAGAGCGGGTTTGCTACGAAGCGGGACAGGCTTGGTTGCTTTTTGCTTTTGCCGAAGAAAGGGCGAGGACAAGTAAGAGAATGGTCCCATATGCTGCTGGAAATAATGAATAGGAGTCGGCGGACCGCGCGACTTGGCTTTTCTTTCTTTTATCCATTTTCATGTTTAAAAATCCTGCTCTTCATGCTGGTTACAAACTGCAAACCGAGAGCTGCGAACAGAACAGATGCCTTTAACTTAAGGAGCGCACTGCTTCCTTTGGGTTCGTGTCTGTCGAGGTTTTGTTTAAAATATTACTCTAATAAATCCTACAGCTCCCAGGCTGGGTTTGGCGGGCTTTGGACGCGCCATTTCCTTCACAGAGAAGTTATCGGGATCCTGCCAAGGGAAGAAAAACAACAACAAAACAAACTTAAAAAAGAAGAAGCGCAGTCCTCTACTATCATCCTTGTAGTCAAACTCCCTTTTCTCTTCTTTAGTCAAGTCAGACACAAAAGTAAAGGAAAACTATCCTTGAGTATTTAGAGATAAAAACGAGAAGCCGAAGAGGAGGTGGTGGGGGCGCCTATTGGAGGGAGCTTCCTCCCTGCCCGAGACCTCAGAGATGCAGGGGCCGGAGCCGCGCACTTTCGCAGCCTGCACCTTTGGGGACCTATATGAGCACTGGGAAGCCTAAGTGACGCCCACTGCCCTGGAGAAGTCCTGAGAGAGTCCTACCTCGGCCAATTAGGTTCCACAGGCTGGGCTGCTGCAGGATCTCGCTGCAGTTTCTAAAAACCTAGTCCGAAAGCAAACTGCATATGCTGAAGTAACACAATCCATGTAGGGCAGATTTACATTCTTCTTGTTTCTGGGTATGATTTTTTTTAATGATGTTTTAGCTACCTGACTCGGGTTTTTTTCAGAAAAGTGCCATTATATTAAAAATTCCACCAAGACTTTGTTGGCCTATGATTACCACTCTATCTCAGGACACTTTTCTCTACTTATTTTCTATCATTCGTTTATCCATTCATTTGTTTAAGAAATATTTACCAAGTACCTACTATGCTATAAGCACAGTTAAGTAGCAGGGTTCAAAGATGAAAAAGGCATCATCCCTCTTTAAAGAAGGGAGTGGGACAATGGGGACATAGACATGGAAGCCAGTTATCACAGTGCTAGCCCTAAAGCTGACAGAGCACCAGGGAAGTAACAACATAATATGAAGTCTGGGTAGGAGTAGGGCCTTTAAATGGAGAGGTAAATGAATGGTGCAAAAGACAGGAGCTCAAAACTGCTGAACCTGGGGGTAAGGGGTTGGAGAGGTGAGTGTGGCCAGGAATTGTGGAAAGAAAGTTTATCCTCATACTAAAAAGAAGTTGATATCAAATTATATAGATGATAGGGAGCTGTTGGAAGTTACTCTCCCCACATAAGCAAGGGAGGGGTAACACCATTAGATTTATACATTGGAAAGATAATTGGCTTCAGGGTTACTGAAAAGAGAACCTGAGGCAGGCTGTCACTGAAAAGCTGGGGCTAATAACCCAATAAGCAAAGTAAGCACATGCTTACCTGTGTTTACTTATATATGAACTTGAAAAGAGGCTTTGATTCTGTAGGAGGTACTGTAAGGTTGGAAGAGACAGATGCCAGCCATACCTTAGAAGTACCATCTTTGATGTGGTTTAAAAAATGTGAAAACTTTCACCACAGATTAGTAGGGAAGCACAAGTAAGCCTATGCTTACCTTGCTTAGTGGGTAATCCAACACTGCTGGAAAGCTTTAACAGTCTAGACAGAAAGGTCACTACTTAAGATGGGTGTTATTTGTAATACATACTAACACAGCACTGAATTTCATCACCACACATATGTCTCTAAAGAATGTGTAGTTATAGCGTTACCTGTAAAAATAACACCTATTTGTCCCAGATACATGTATTATTGCTTTCAAATATTCGTCTAAGTAAACCAGTTGCCATTGAGTCAGTTCTGACTCATGGCTACCCTACATGTGTAGAGTGGAACCATGCTTCCTAGGGTTTTCAGGGCAGTGAACTTGGAAGCAGAGCCCAAGTCTTTCTTCCAACACACTTCACGGTGGGTTTGAGTGTCAACCTTTGTTAGTCACCTAAAACTTGTTAATTCACTAAATGCGTATATGTTTCAAAGCATAACTGAATTCTTAGGTTGGGCTTTTTTATTTTTATTTTTATTTTTTCATTTTTATTGTGATTTGGGTGAAAGTTTTCAGAGTAACTTCATTTTCCATATAGCAATTCATACATATTTTGTTTCATGACATGGACTACATTTCCCCACAATGTAACACCTCTCTTCCCACTTAAATTCCTAGTATTTTTTAAAAGAAAATGCAATAAATATTCTAAATGTACAAAAAAGAAAAAAAACCTCACTGCCACATAGTTGATTCTGACTCATAGTGACCCCCATTGGGTTTCTGAGGAAATAAGTCTTTACAGAAGTAGGTCGCCCCATCTTCCTTTCACAGAATGGCTGGTGGGTTTGAACCACCAGCCTTCTAGTTAACAGTCAGATATCTTAGGCACTGCACCACCAGAGCTCCCTTCTAAATGTTTGAGTGTGTGTGTGCGTGCACACACGTGCATTGGCAATAATCCATGAAACATTTTGATATTGAAAAGGATTTGGGGAAGCACGGGTGCTCTCTCATATCCTCTTAGCAGCCACGTTGCATATCACTCTATTTGTTTGACCCTTTGGCATCCTGACCCATGGGCTGCCATGGACACTTTTTTGCTAGCTCTCCACCTTGATGCTCATTCCTCTCTTGACCAGTATCCAGCGCTTAGAACCTTTCCTGAGCCGTCTACCTTCCACCACTTCTCTCTCATAAAAACTTACCTGTCTTATGTTCCATTTTCTAAAAACCATTCTAGGTGACTGGGCTGGTTGAAACGTGAGTTTATTCTAGCATATTTATTGCAAACAATAATTACTAATATTAAGCAACCACCACTATCATCACCTCAAATTCTTCCCCTTCTCACTCTCCCTGTGGGAGTAGAAAACATACTGCACACTCCGGAGCTCCACCCACCACCCTGGCTGTAGTTTTTAGGTGCCGCCAAGTAGGCCCTGACTCATAACGATCCTATGTACAACAGAACAAAACATTGAGCTTTGCTATTCTTGAGCCCATTGTCACAGCCACTGTGTAAATGCATCTTGTCAAGGGCCTTCCCCTTTTTTGCTGACCCTCTGCCAAACATGACATCCTTCTCCAGGGTTTGGCCCCTTCTGACAATGTAACCAAAGTAGGTGAGAAGAAGTCTGACCATTCTCACTTCCAAGGAGCATTCCTGTTATGCCTCCTCCAAGACAGATTTGTTCATTTTTCTAGCAGTCCACGGTCCATTCAACATTCTTCGCCAACACCACACCTCAGATGCATCAATTTTTCTGTGGTCTTCCTTATTCATTGTCCAGTGGACTATTCCCTGTGGTAGCATGCTAGTTCTGTTCCTCAGAGGAGGCAATACTCTACTGCTTCAAAGGTTGGTCTATTGAAATTCTTCACTTGTTTTATCTTCTATCCTACAATGAAGTTTAGAGTGGAGACTGGAAGATTTGGCCTGGTTTAAAAAGAAAGAAAATATGCATATATGTATGCATGTATGTATTCCAAAGAAAGGTGACACAACAGAATGTGGAAATTATTGAACAATATCATTAAGATCACATGCAAGGAAAATTTTGCTGAAAATAATTCAAAAATGGTTGCAGTTTATTGACTTCCAGAAATGAACTTCCAGAAATGCAAGCTGGATTCAGAAGACATGGAACAATGGATATCATTGCTGATGTCAGATGGATCTTGGTTAAAAGCAAAGAATACCACATAGAGATTTACTTATGTTTTGTTTATTATGCAAAAGCATTCAACTGTTGATCAAAATAAATGATGGATAACACTGTGAAGGATGGAAATTCCAGAACACTTAACAGTGTTCCTGAGGAACCTGTACATAGACCAGGAGGCTGTCATTCAAACAGAACTAGGGGAGAGTGGATGGTTTAAAATCAGGAAGGGAATGCATCAAGGTTGCATCCTTTTACCATATGTATTCAATCTGTATGCTGAGCAAATAATCTGAGAAACTGGACCATGTGAAGAAGAGCAGGGCATCAGGATTGGAGGAAGACTCAAGAACAACCTGCGATAGGCCGATGACACAACTTTGTTTGCTAAAAGTAAAGATGACTTGAAGCACTTACTGATGAAGATTAAAGACTACAGTCTTCAGTATGGGTTGCACCTCAACATAAAGGAAACAAAAATCCTCACAACTGGACCATTAAGCAGCATCATGATAAATGGAGAAAAGATTGAAGTTATCGTATCATATTACTTGGTTCCACTATCAACAACAGTGGAAGCATCAGTCAAGAAATCAGACATCGTATTGCACTGGGCAAATCAGCTGCAAAAGACCTCTTTAAGTTACTGAAGAACAAAGATGTCTCTCTGAAGACTAAGGTGTGCCTAACCCAACCCATGACATTTTCAATCCCTTCATATGCAATGAATAAGGAAAACGGAAGAAGAATTAATGCCTTTGGGTTGTGGTGTTGGTGAAGAATACTGGACTGCCAGAGAAACTAACAAATCTGTCCTGGAAGAAGTGCAGCCAGAATGTTCCTTGGACTCGAGAATGGCCAGACTTCATCTCACCTTACTTTGGTCATGT